TTGAATAGTTAAGTTGATTCCTTTCTTAAAATATACTTTTTTTTCCCCTGATAATTATGAGAAATATTAACCAGGTAACAGTAATTAGTAAGTATTTCTCATAATTTAATTAGAAAAATCAATTCTATTATTCTGTTCCTTTTTCAGATGTCACTTTTCTCCTTCAAACCTGTTGTTTTCTCCAGTCTTGTCTTTCATAAGTGTTTTTACATGCTCCGTGTCACACTTTACATAGAACAGAAGAATTAAAAGAGTATAAAATGTGTTGTGAATGGGGACAGTGGAAATGGGTCTAAAGACAATATTAAAAATTCAGTGCAACTGGAGTTACGGATATACCAAGGAAACAGGAAAGAAATATGGAGTCGTGGCAGGCAACACTTAGAGCAGTGTTATCTCTGTAGCGTACTCTCTAGTAACTACTATTAGCATGTTCTTACTGATAGGAAACAGAAAAGTAGTCTGAAAGTCAGAAGACTTTTTTTTTTTTTTTTGTTAAAGATTATTTATGCATTCAGAACTGGGGTACAGGCCAGAGGTGCAGGGGTGGTGAGAGGATTCACCAGAGTCAGAGTGGGGAACAGAGCAGGCTGACAAAGTACACTGCTGAGGGGAGCAGTGGGCAGGTCAGGAAAGGTCTGTCGGGACATGAGGGTCACCTCCGGGGCGGGGATCAAACTCATGCTGAAGTGACTTTAGCTCCTTAGCGCTGTGCTTTAACCCGCTGCGCCACCAGGGAGAGCCCCCAGAAGACTTTTTTTTAAAGATTTATTTATTTATTCATACAGAACTGGGCTACAGGGAGGGTGAGAGGATTCACCAGAGACAGAGCGGGGAGCACAACAGGCAGATAGACAAAGTACACTGCTGAGGGGAGCAGCGGGCGGGTCAGAGGTCTGCCGTGCCATGTGGATCTCCTCCGGGGCAGGCTGGGATCGAACTCATGCAGCAGTGGCTTTGGCTTCTTAGTGCTGTGTTTTAACCCTCTGCGCCACCAGGGAGGGCCAAAAGTCAGAAGACTTTTAAAGTTTGTTTACTCATTTCCACACTGGGAAGTCCTGAGTGGCATGTATGCTTGGTTGCCAACAAGTTTGCTTCCCTCAGACTGGCTCTGTGACCTTGAAGAAGTCATTTAACTTTCATGCAAGCCCTTTCATTATACTTAAAATTAGTGTGTGAACTTATAAATGTATGATGCAAAGGTTAAAAGTAGTTGATCAATTAAGACCGCAGCTGGTAGTGTTCCATTAAGTGTGTTATTTTATAGAGTTAGAAAGATAAATGTATAGCTTTTAAAGTGACTAGAGTAGAATAGCAAAAATACAGAGTATGTCTTAAAGTTTCTTTTCAGTTCAGTCTGTAGATCTCTGTAGTTAGGAAAAACCCAGAAAGTTTTAAGTAAGTTGGCTCTTGAAAATCTCTTCTATATAAAAGAAACTGTATAAAGAGAACCAGATATAGTGTAAAAGATAGATGGTGTAAAAATGTCAAATTGCTTGTTTTTTTCCCCATAGAATAATGGATAAAATTTAACTTTCATGTAAAAAAACAAAACCATAATGAGTTTAAAGGAGATTGGGCTCCCTAGAGACTTTTTCTACTTTTTTTACTCTTTGAGTCATGGAAAGAATTAGGTGATCTGAGCCATAAGGGCAGCAGTTACTTGTGTGCCTCTCATAGCACTGAGTGTGTCCAATCAATACTTGTTGATTCATTGATTTTCTAAAGGTCTTTTCATCGTATTTTGTCTCTGCTCCAACAACACATATGTGGCCAACAAATAAAATTTTGAAATAAAAATTATCCCTAGGGTCCTGGATGTTGTTTTTGATTTTTTTTAAAAACTAGTTTTTAAAACTTACTGTTTTTAAGGTTCTTCATTCTACCATGTGACATCTATGGTGGTGGCCTGGCAGACTGCAGGAGTATATTCTTAGCCTTCAGAAACTAGTAGATAAATCAAAATGTTTTTACTTTCTTAGCATTTCTGAGGGATCTTCAAACTATAACTCACTATTTTCAGATTTTGGTGGTATTGCATTGCCAAGTCTCTGAACCATAATCTACAAGATATCTCTGTAAAGTTGAAATTCTAATTTCTTCTAACATTCCGATTATTAGCCACCTAACAGCTGTTACTATAACTTTTCTTTTTAAAATCTTTATGACTTGCTGTTACCATGAGAATATTAGTTGAATGCCATAGCCCTTCACTGTTGCATGCAGCTTAGTTTTCGTATCCTAGTCTTAGTATCTAGCTTCCTTAGCAGATAAGCAGAATACAGATCCCCTAAAGAGCATATATGTGAAGTGATAGGGATGCATTCTTAAGGTTTTCTTATTTCCTATTTTTTAACCCCCTCCCTCCGCCCCATAATCCCAGTGGATGAAATAATGATCTGAGAAGAACTCTGTTGTAATTGTAGAGTTCAAGGTTTGAAGGTTTTAGAGCATTAACTTTCACTGAGGGTTATTTTATTTTTTTTTAAACACATATGCCAACCATTTGGCCTAGCATATCTGAGTTGATTAAATAATGAACTAAAGCTAAGAACTATTTCTAGATGACTTCTTATTCCTTTCTAGCATAGTAATTTTTCTCACTCAAAATTATCAGTCAATATTTAGAAAGAAAGAACAATATGAAGAGAACGTATTCTTTTCAAATGTGTTCAAAAGTCTGCTTTTAGGTTATCTTTTCTGACTTTGCTTTGTCAGGAATTTTCATGAACTCTTAGCATTTTGTTCTGCATTACCTCATAGACTTACTCTATCTTTTCAAGGTACCTGTCCCTTGTGCCAGGTAGACTCATTACTCATACAAATCTAGGTTATATTTTTCTAGGAAAATTAATTACTCGATACTGGCTACATATGGTTAGCTTGTCAGCAGGAAAATTTTAACATATTTTGGGGCCGTACAATATAAGTATTAAGCAATCTTTTTCTCTGTGCACAGAGTAGTACATTAACATATATTTAAGTGACTACATTCTATAGTACTAATGTTTTGCATGGGATAGTAAGACTTTCTTATTTTTATTGAAAGTGTCAAATACCTGTCTTCATAATCATGAAAAAGAGCACACAGTGAAAAAAGATGCAGAGTGCCTGTTATATATTTGTATATACTAAAGGTTATGTTATATGTAGTAAAGTATATGGAATTGATCTATATAGTATGAATACCTACCATTTGGATTGGTTAGGCAAGGAAAACCTTCCAGGAAAGTGAATTCATTAGGAGCACAACAATGTATTTTAAGACATATGAGATGACTTTATGAGAAACAATCTGTTATGTGTGCTTAGAACTACTGTGTCCAGATAGAAGGATTCATGCCCACTGGGAATTGGTATTTTGATAGTATCTCATTTTGTCTCTCTGAAACTTTATCAGATCTATTTTATAAACCATCAATTCTTTTACTCTTTTGTAGCACAAAAACAATATTTTACCTAGGTAGGAATTTGAAGATAGTCCTTGAAGTCAACAAATTTTAGGACGTTTCTTAGATTTCTTTGTAGAAGATATTTCTTATTAATTACATTAGTTGAGCTTCTAGAATCTTGTTTCTATACATAAAAACAACACATGAAGTGGCTGGGGAGAATCTTAGATGTAAATGTGGTATGCATATTATTTGCTAAGGAAGTTTTCAGGCACTAAGAACTAAATCTATCTAAAAGTATTCTCGCAGGAATCTACTGAGAGCGAAACCTTTACTGTTCTGTCCTTATTACACTGGTAAGAGATATTGTTAAGCCAGTAGGCACTGTTTGTATATTATCCTGTTGGATCCAGTAATATGTCCACATTTTAATATAAGTGTTTTATTTTAAATAGCAATCACTTTATAAAGCAATAACTTTCTAACTCCCAAACTATCATGATTTCCATTAGATTTGGTGTCCTATGAGCTTTGCAGAGCCTTGTTTTTCTCCATTTCCTTAGTCTCTTAGTGGTAGGACTATCCCCTATTTAAACCCTGTTGCATTCTGTCAGTTTTCTTCATGACCTTGCCTCAGATGGCTTTTGATACATTCCATTAGTTGTTGTTGAAGTTACATAGTTTTATAACTTACGCTCCATTGATTTAATTTAAACCTTAATTAAAACAAATCATTGTTTTAAATCTGAAATTCTAATGTGTTTGGTCAAGGAATTCATTTATAAGCCATAATATAATATTCCGCCAGCCCTCATGCACATGGCTTGTCACCTCACATGTGTTGATGGAACACAGGGTATTAAGTTTAAGGGAAGAATGTGTTGATCTTCTAGCACTTTTGTTCTTTTTGACACTTGAGATCCCAGAATTCTCCGGGGGGAAACCCAGAACCCCAAACACCACTAACTTGGAGTGTGATAGACGTGGCTTTGCAGTTCTTCTGTCTCCAGCTTTGTCCAAGCGTCCTCTCTCAGACTCTGCTAATTTAGTATTGTATCAGGAGTCATTCTACTTTCCTGTGTTTCTGAAGAGAGTCAATTTAGTACAAATTGGGACCTATTTACGCTTCCTCTCTCTAACACATACTGTTAGTCAGCAGGGCTTCTGAGACAGCAATTGGTATTTGAAGAAGTACCCTCTTTAGATCTTTTTGAATATGTTTTAAACTTCACCCAGCAGATTTCATTATTGAACAAAAATTAATGTGTAGGAATGCTTTGTAACTTGTTGTCTCTGTATCCTGTAACCTTAATAAATTTTACATTCTGCAAAAATTACATGTATTTTATTACTTAATTAAATATTATCATTTAGTTAAAGCTTTCTTTTCATGGAGCATCTGAATTGTTAATTTTTTCTTTGAGGGATGACTCCAAATTCCTCACAAAAACAAGCAGAGCTTTTCTCTGCTCTTGCTATCAGTTTTAGGGGACATATTGCTTCGTCGGTACTGTCATACCAATAAATCATCCCAGATTACTTGCAGTCGTACAGTACTAAAGTATAGCATGCATTTTAAAGGAAATCTGCTATTTTCTTTTCAATCAGATGAGCAACGTGAAGAGACTACGGCCACGGCTCAGTGCTATTCTCTTTAAGCTTCAGTTTGAAGAGCAGGTGAACAACATCAAACCTGACATCATGGCTGTCAGTACTGCGTGTGAAGAGATAAAGAAGAGCAAAAGCTTTAGCAAGTTGCTGGAACTGGTATTGCTAATGGGAAACTACATGAATGCCGGCTCCCGGAATGCTCAAACCTTCGGATTTAACCTTAGCTCCCTCTGTAAAGTGAGTTTGTTTTGTTTTGTTTTTGTTTATTTTTTTAAAAACACATATTTGCCTGAACACATTCTTAAATGTCAACCCAGATTACATTATTTAAATGCGTTTTTATTTTGACATGCTCATTATCAAGAGCTTGAACTGAATCGTGCTCCCAAACCCACAGTGAACTGAACTAATTTACTCAACCTCTGAACTAAATCCAAATATTAATCTTATCTCATGTGCAAATTCAACTGAAGTAGATTGCTTAATAATAAAATTATGTTGTAAACCTATGCTTCCTCAGACTAATGAAATGGAATATCAAAATATTATTTAAAGCTAACATTAATTCATTTTACCTACCTGTGTATGATGACATTTATACTGAGACTTACTTAGGATAGGATAGTCACAAAATTTAACCTTTAGCTTTGAAATATTTCTTTGCATTTTTCCTTTTGCAAGCTGAATGTAGGAGGAGGAAAGTAAGACTCCTTTATACCAAGAGAAAAATAATTTATTAGAATTAAACATACCAAAGATGCCACTGATGAGTTTAAAATGTTTCTATTTAAATACAGTTTTGTAGGATGTGAAATTTGAGTCAAGTGATAGATTTTGTTTCTCTTGGATTTATTTGTAGGTTAAATTTCTTACAGCAAATCTATTCAATGTTTTATATAACAGCTTGTACCTAAGAAGAGGGCCATAGTAATAGTGCTTCATTGATCTGCTTACAGCAAATTCTTCTCAGTTACACGTCATAAGAACAGCTTTTTCTTGTTCTTGATCCAGTAATATCTACATTCCCTGATGAAAGAATTTGATTATTGCCATTGCCAGTTAGGTAGAGAAGGTGAGAAACAAGTTCAGCTCTAGCTATGGGTTTACTGAACTGTAATCTCTTGGTACTTTGATACTTTTCTTACATGATTTTCCTGATCTAAAATTCCTACTTATCAATCAATATCAATATCAATATCTTGTCAACCTGTTTCCTCTCCCATCTCTATCTTCATTTACCTCTCTTTATCTCATCCTACTTTTTTTTAGATAAGTTCCTTAGTATACATGATGCGATTCCTAACACATGTGTTGAGGACTTTACACCTCTCTCAAGGACTTACACAGGCTAAATTACTAGGTCATGATTATTGATCGTTTAATGGATCGGTTAATGTATGATTAATATTGGCCTGGCATACATAGACTTCATATTTTTATATGTCAACTATTATGATTAGGTGTTTGTTTCTTTTGGGGGGAGTAATAAAGAAAAACATTATGCCACAAATTTATGGGGGAGAGGCAAGTTTTGCTAAGAGAGAGCAGTTAAGTATTCAGAGAGGAACCAGGAACTTGAGCTGAGTTGGAAAGCATGTTCCCTGAAAGGGAAAGACATTCTGAGCAAGAATCAGTAGTTTTGATAGTTAGAATATGACTGTGCACTCTAGTGTGATCATATCAAGTGATTTACAAAAGGTCGAGGCTAGGTAAGAAAGAAGTGGAGAAAGAGAAATGACAGTACATTGGCCTAGGTTGGAAAGAGCAGTCACTGTCACACCTTATGGGGAAATTTTTTTTTTGAAGCAAAATGTTGTGATCATATACCTTGTGGGAAAAGACTTATAACTGTATGGAAGGAAGTTAAACTGTACTGTCCAGTATTATCACCATTAGCTACATATGGCTACTAAAATTTCAGCTAAAATTGAAATACAATCAAGAATTTTGTTCCTCATCCAAACATGCTTTGTTTCCTGTAAGTCAGTGTCCATAAATGTTGGGAACAAACATGTAACACATTTTCATCATTGCAGAACGTTCTATTGGACAATACTGGTTTAGCAGGTTGTTTAGGGTGGGGGGGGGTTGTGACTTAGTTTGATTGGCATATAAAATATGGCTTAGAAGAATCACACAGGAAATCAAGATAGAAATTAGGGAACAGTATGAGAGGTGATGGAATAAAGGGTAGTCAAAGATAATTCACCTAGACAACTGGTGGGAGATGTTGCTGCTGCCATAGTAAAAGTGCCTGCTCAAAGTTAAAGGCCTTCCGGGTGCTTTTGATGTTTTCTACCCTTTGCTTACTTTAGTCTCTTATAGGACATCTGATTAAAACAGCCCTATTCAATTATTTAGCAAGTATGGGAGTGTCCACAATGTAACCATCGCTAAGGAGTGCAAAAGGAGGTTGAAGTAGAGTGGGAATGGGACGGAAGGAAGAAAGAGCTGGATAATTGTTAGGACCTGGTAGTTAAGAAGTTGTAGACTGAAAGAAGCAGAGAAAGCAAAACTGTCAGGTTTGGTCTTTGTCAGAGAAAGGAAGCAAAGGTAGAAAAAAAGGATGAGAAGTAAGGTAGAGAAGTTAAGTCCATTCCTAAACATCTACTGGATTTTATTCATAGTTCTAAATTGTCTATAGCTTTCAAATTTGCATCAGAAATATAGTCAACTCATCAAAATTGTATTTCATGACATCTCTTATGCCTTCTTCTGAACAGAGCTGTTTGACAGCAAATTAGGTCTGATCAGTAAGGTGAAACAGCCTAATACCGTGCTTGGTACAACACAAAACCAGTAAATGTCTGTTGAATGATGAATGCAATAACACAGTAATGTGTCTCTTTGTTATTTTATACCTAATAGACATGCGTGCATGCTGTTACTATTTTTATTACTGCTAATCTACAAACCAGTTAACCTTTCTCTGAATAATAGAGTTGGCTATATTTTCAGGCAATGATCCTGGATATTTTGATCATTCTTCTTAAGAGCCTTCTATTGAGCAAGACACAAAATAAGTGCTACAACAACGTCATTTATTGTTATTGTTATTATTCTGCATGTCAACTTGAAAGCAGACATTGAGCAAGATGATATCTCCTCTCTCTCTTTTTTTTAATCAGAAGTAGCAGCTTGATCTTTGACAATTGTGATTGAATTTTACAAAGTATAAAACATTTGGTTTGATGATAAGCCCCCACACTAGGAATTTCATATACATACATATATATATATCAAATTCTATTTGACAGTAGACAGTAGTTACTTTTAAAATCTGATCAGTAATTAGATATTTATTTAAATACAGAAATATAAATTCCACATTTAAAAATTTTCTTTTATTTGCCCTTTATAAATTTAGCTTAAGTATTAAAAGTGAATGGAAATTTATACTAAATTGATAATTTTGGATTGTTGAAAATAATTCTGTGAATTATTAATTTTGTATGCAATGTAGTTAATTTTAGGAATGATGTTATATCTTTATGTACATTTATATTGAAGATGACTGATTTTAATAACTAGGTGAGAGAGAAAAGGTTTTCTTTTTTTTATCCTACACTTTTGATATGGCCTATGATAAATAAATGTAAATTAAGAGATAAAAGTAAGCCAACCAGAACCTAAAATCAAAGTATAGATAGAAATTTCAGTAGTTGTAGACTTGAGGCTTTCTTAGTAACAGTAAAGGACATCCAATGTCAATGAAACTTTTCATGAGCTCTCATTAGCCAAACCTGAACTTCGCAAGAAAATTTGCATGTATATTGCTATGAAAGAAATATGTGGTGTCAAGCAGTGTTCATATAAACAGCAAATGAATTGTTTTTATGAGTTTTTTCTTTGAAAGTTCTATATGTTCTTTACCTCACTCCCCTCCCCCTACAAATAAGTATTCAGGGTGTTTTAGGACTTGACCTTAAAAAAAACATGTATGGAAAAAAAGACATTAGCTTTTCATTTATAGTAACACTATAACAATGTTTAAACAAAATGTTTAAATATCTTGCTTTCTGATAGCTTGACTTTTTAAAAGGGTGAACCATAGACTATATATGGAAGAATGGATGAACTCCTTGTCATTCATAAAGTCCTCTAAAGATACTAGACATTAGATTAAAAAAAAAAAGGACAATAGGTGGTTTGATATTTTATAATTTATCAGGACCTGGGATGTATTAAATGCAAATAATAGCCTTAAAAGTTCAGTCATAAAATGTAGACCACTGTCTGATCAAAATATATACCTAGAAAAAATTTTATGTGGTTTGTGTTGAAGTCACTTCTAAAAGCCTGTCAGTAGACCAAGTAGATCAGTGTCCTACCCAACAATGAATGAACACATTCACCACACTGCAAAATCATATTAAAATATGACGTGGTTTTAACTTGTAAATGTAAAAGCCATGTTATTAGTCAAAAACACCGTGATTATAACAAGTGATTATTGTTTACTAGTGTCTAAGAAGTGCAATTTCAAAATACTTTTCAAGTCATCCTGCTTAGCACAACTGAATGAGATAGCTATAAACGCTAGATCTTTATCCTAGATAAATTATAGGATTGTAGAAATTTAATTCCCATATTGGGATAGTAGGCACAGATTTTGGAAAAGATACATATTCTGGAAGATAAATATTTGAAAAAGTTGACTAACTATAAGAATTAATTTTCTTAGTGTTTGTATTTATTTCTTATTGTATGTGTATTTAGTTCACCACAAAGATGAAATCATTAAAGGGTACTAAATAATAGAGCTGTGGGGTTGGGAATTAGGTGTTAAAAGGGTGCAACTCTAAGCCAGGGTTGCCTTTTTTTTTTTTTTATTGTTTTTCTCTTTCCAAGTTTATGATTTTTTTAAATTTATCTAATACCTCTTACAAGCACAGGCTAACCTCATTGAAACTGATAGGAAAAGTTTTTTAGAAAAAGAACAATTTAATTTCCTTTTCCTTAGTGGCCCAACTTGATCCAGTGAGTGACTTCTTGAACTTGTGAACAACTCTTCTTCCAGGACATTGATTCTCATCCTGGAAAATTGTTTTAAGAGACACAGGTTCATCAGCCCCATATCACTAATCATTTTCTTCAGCATATATGAATGTAGGTATTTAAAAAAAAACATTTCCCCAGGTGACATTAATGCACAATGTGAGAATCACTTTTTCCTACTTTTTTTTTTTTTTAATCCCAGAATGGAAAATCCTTAATTGGTAGTCTGGAAGCAATCA